GAGTACTTTATCAACGCGCGCCTTAATCAAATTTCCAGGAGCAAGTGAACTTATATTTTGCACAAATTTATCAGACAAAGTCGCGCTTGAGACAGCATCCGGATCAGCAGTTACTTGAATTATTAGATTTTTATCGGCTACACTGATAACACTAACATTTAATAATTGGCCCACAGTAAGTGGACGACTATCGTTGAACCTTGATTCATAACCCGACGCTTCTTTATTGTGTAAGAAAACATTAATTCCGCTCATTCCAATTGAGAGAACATAGCCATGATCTTCTATACTTTCAACAGAAGCAGATAATATCTACAAAAGGTTAGCATATTTGCACCATCATAAAATCAAAAGATAATTATAAAAAAAGCACACTACCATGTCTTTAGAAATGTCGGTGCGGACAATATCACAATTTACAAGTTTTGGATCCAAACTTAATTCGATTTGCTTATTTTTTATTTGGTCATCATTATTTACCAGTCTCGTAATCACACATCGAACCCATTGACCAACTTTGAATAATTTTGATAATTCTGGTAATTGATTTTCATCATCTTCATCGTCACCATCGTTCATATTGGCGATATCTGCAGCTTTCTTGGACAACTGTTCAGAAATGCCTGTAATAGTAACAATACCTTTTAACTGATTTGGAAGAGATACGATCATATCCAGAGCATTTATTTTCGTAATTTGTCCGAGACAATATGCCCCAACAATCAGTTTCTGTAAAAAAAAAAAAACATAACATTAAATAAAAAATAAAATAAATTCTTCAATGCGTAAATGTATGGATCATAATTGCTTACCTTAAAACTAAGCATTTCAACAATATCATCGTATTTATTATGTTTATTATTATTTGATAATTTGGAATTGTTAATATTCTCAGGAATATGAGTGGACCCAGATTTTAGTAAAGACTTTCTCTTCTTCTTGGTAGGTTTTTCCGTCTCAGAAACCTATAATTTAAGAGAAAATTAAAATTGAAAAGGCAATTGAAATAAAATAAAATGATATAAATCTTACATTAAAGAGGTCATCCTCATCAGTTCTTTCCCTTTTGGATTTTAAAGGCTGCGTTACAATGCTGCTTCTTGGTAAATCAACTTCTGCGCTATACATGGGTCGAAAATATTTTGCTCTTACGTAAATTTAAATGACGAGAATGATTTTGACAGTCAAAATTGTAAATAATTTAGTATGTTGAAAATATTTTAGTATGCCGAAAATATTTCTGTACGTATGTCAAAAATATTTTTGTATGTCGAATATTAAAAACTCATATGATCTAGACTAAAAAAAATTTTTTATATCAGATATCGATAAGTTTTTTAATTGGCTAAAAAAAGTGATCGACAGTTTATAAATCGACAAAATCAAATTGTGCCTGCAAATTTTTGATCAGAATTGTTTTTAATAGTACAACTCACATAAACAATAATGGACCCTTCATTCTTATTACATACTGCTGTACTGGGAAAACTACTTGCAAAGAGCTTTTCGCCAATACCATTTTTATCTTATTTTATTAATTCTCTGTTGTTATTTTCACCTTCGGGTAGCAGAAATAACCCCTGCAAAAGTCGTATGAATCCATATCAAAGCAGTTACCGGAAGTGACACTTAACCTGTCGGGTTGAAACATTTATCTGGATTTAAATTTTCAAAAGCTAAAATATCTGATGTACCTGAGTGCTGCGTTCAAAACTTGATATCTGACTGGGGGTGTTAGATACCAAATGATTTACTAGATTGGTCCACTACTGCGTAAGATTTTTAACATTTTGTCGATCAATTTGTTAAAAAATCTATAGTAGTAAAAACTATGTATTTTTAAAATGTTATAACTTCCTTCTTAGTAAAGTAAATTCGATTCTGTAACTTGCAAATGATATAAACATAGCGTTGTTTTAAAACCATGATGCCATACTTAATATATGAATTTTAGTAGGTCCCTATAATATAATTGTTTAAATAATATCTTTAAAACGTTCTAACTCACACGCTCTAGTAGAGCAAATTTAATTATTTAACGTGTAAATGGCGTATAAATAGCTTGCTTTTAAAACTAGCAAGATAGAAATTCGTTTTGATTGGATACTTGTTTTATATTGACAAATAATGTTACACGAGTTTTTTATATTATT